ACCAGAAAAACCAGAAAACTTCATTCTTTGTTTCTCTGTAAGGAATAAATGATTTCAAAATGCATAATTAACAAAATAGAGGAGGTATTCTATAGAAGAGAAGAGATAGCAAAGATAAGACAGATGGATTTTCAATTACCTCCTGAGGTGTCCCGACTTGGATCTTCCCAAGGCAACCTCTTGAAAAGTAGCTCCTGAGGGGGATTTGATGGGTTCTTCTTTCCCTCTGGATCTCTCATCTCCACAGTGCAGCACTTCAAATCAGAGGAAGAAAAAAAGAAGCAGAATTAATGTATGTCAAACAAAATAAAGTGGATTCTTATATCCGGAACACAACCTCAAAGCCCCCAATATCCATCAGTGAGGTTGAGTGAGAAAACAATGTCCTACAAGAACTTGTGGACGATCACCACGTATAAATGCCAGAGAAGTTTGGGAAGTATTCAAACACATTCTCTATTCCCATTTGAGCTCCCTAAAGTGCCTCACCTCCAACTCAACCTGCTCCTTCTGCTCCTCCGCCTGGCTCAGGAGGAAGCCTTCCGCCAGGACCACTGCCTGGGAGCTGGTCTCTGCTCCACATTCCCGCACCCAACTCTCCATCTCTGGGGGTAGAAGGAACAGGAGCTGCTCCAGAACAACCAGGTCCAGCATCTGGGCTTTGGTGTGCTTTTCTGGACTCAGCCATCGCCTACAAAAGTTGTGGAGTTGGCTGCAAAGTCCTCGGGGACCCTCAGCTTCCTGGTATCGGAGGCTCCTGAAGTTCCAGGCTTGAATTTTTGAGAACCTCGTGGTTTCCTCCATCATGCACTCGATCCAGGATTGAATTCGGAAGAGGGCTGGGCATGTATCTCTCTCCCTTCTCAGCCTCTCTTTGCATGGGAAGAGCCCACCCCACCCCCCACCACGCCTGGATCCCTCCCCTGCAAGTCTCTCCTGCAGCCTTTTCACCTCCGTAGGAGCTCCAAGGGTTAAGGAGAGCAAATGCTAATGTTATAGAGAGGCAAGGCTCAGGGATGTCCCTCCCTTCTCAGCCTCCTCTGGAAAGCCAGCCGAAACCTTCGCCCTCCAGTGGCCAAAAAGA